CTTAACCTTTAGTTGTTGGGTGTCCAGGAGCATGTTGTGTGTGTGCCATTGCAGCCCTACTTTATTGTCTTCGAAACTCACGTAGAGATCCTTGTAGGTCATCTTCAGTCCTTCTGTTGATACGCTGATGGTGGCCATTGCTCCTGGTTCGTAGCGACTGGCAATGAATTCCGTGACTTCATGAGTCTTAAGTACCCCTTCCCTCTGCATATGCCACCCATGTAGCATCATTCCTCCATAGGCGGGGGTGTATGGGTCCTCAGACTCAGCAGGTGACATGCCCAGTTCCCATTTCCCGGCCTTCCTTCAGATCCGTAACACCAGAACTTTGTCACCCTTTGGCAGGCTCTTGTGGTACAACCCTTTTTCAAGTAAGTGTCGCAGCTTGGCCCGTTTTGAAAGGTTTGTTTCTTCTACCCCGACCGCTTCTCTCTCTCCCTGTTCGGGTTGAGAGGCATGGGTGGCTTCTTGTGTGCCTTCCGGAGGTGACTGGTCTGGGGGGTGTGGAGGGGGCTTGTCAGCCTCTTTGGGTGTGTTGAGAGTTTCTGCAGTGGGGGATTGGAATTTTTGGTGCACGATGTTCCAGATTCTGTTTAGCACCTGTTGCCAATCAGTTTCCGGGGATAGGCCCTGCTCTAGAGCCTGTTTTAGACTAGGGCTCTCGTCCAGCAAGGAGAAGAGTTGCACGTAGGCTTCGTCCCAATAAGTCTCTGTTTGGCCTATGTACAGAACCTGGAGTTGGCCTATCAGCCATTCCGCCAGGCTCCTTCGTCTGGTCTCAACATCTTCTTTCCCTTGCCATACCCAGGCTTCAAGGATGCTCTGTCATTTCCTCGTCCGGGGGGGTTGCCGGTGGTTCCCAATCCATAGGCTGGGGTCCAAAGGCTTGAGAAAAGGGGTCCATTGTGGAGAGGGGTTTGCTGCCCTGCTTTCCTGGGGGGGGGCTTGTTTTGGGGTGCTCTTGATCAGGGTACCTTGCCACTCCCTCCCCTGAGATGTGTTGCCTGGTTACCCGGTGGTCCCCCCTCCCCCTGGGTCGATTTCTTCTCACCCCCCTGCAACATCCCACGTCCGCCCTCTCCCTTCTTGGTTGTTCGAGGGCTGCTTCCCCCGCCCGGGGCCCGTGCACTGTTTCCTCCTTCAGAGGTCTTCGGACCATTGCGTTCCTTGTCCTTCCCTTCTCTTCTCATCTGTTCTTGATGTTCGTGCTGTCCTAGTTCCCCTGGCTGCTGTGCTGTTGTCTGTTTGTCCCCTGTTTCCGTTGCCAGAACTAGGAATCTGTTGTCCGTTTTGGGGGTGGTCTGAGAGTGCGGCAATTTACTTTGTTTACTTGGAGGTGCCTTTTCTTCGAGACCGGGGATTGCCACAGATCCCCCATGTCTGCCGGGGTGATGAAATCTTGGGGCTTGGGCTCTATCCGGGGTTGGGTCCGGGGTTCGGTCCGTTTGGTGTCTGGCGTGTCCTGTCTGTCAATTAGTGCGGTGCCCTCTTCTGGGGGAGGGGCGTATGGGGGGTCTGAACACCGAGTTCACCTGGCCATGGGATTGTAGAGCACTACCGTGCGGCTCATGGAGCTCTCCACAAGACATCACATCTGAACAAAATATGTTCAAAGCGAGGAGGAGAGCGATCCTCTAGGCACTCTGGCGAAAGTGATGCATACATGTCATGGAAGACGTGCGCATAGGAGGAGAAAAACTGACAAGCATTATTGGAAAACAAATCCAAGCTGGACATCACAGACCAATGGATGTATGTAAAAGCAAAGCCAGACCACTATCATGAGAAGAAAGACATAACACAAGCAATCAAACGGTTCTCAGAGGAATGGCTGGGGAGCGAACAAGGGGGTTGGATAGCCAACATTCAGTGGGAGGGGCCTGTCAAGCCGAGGAGGTGGCGCCCAAGCAAGACTACAGATAATCTTTCAAGCACTGCACATCAGTGGATGCATCAATCCAGCTGCAGCCACCTCCAGAATTCCCAGATCTGTTCCACCAGAATGTCTATCATTGGTTGACCTACAATGATACAGAGGCGAGTAACAGACAGCTTTGACCAGCCCCAGCCAAGCAAGAGCCAGTTGAGACACATCACACATGCACAACATAACATACATAACATACATAACATACACAACATACACAACATACACAGCACGGCAGCAGATGATACAGCCAGGGATACTTCTGCCTGTTTGGCGGCCCGGGAGGCTGAAGAGGCTGGCAATCTGGCCAACAATCTGGCCAACAATCTGGTTTTCTTTACTTTTCTTCCTAGCTGAAGCCAGATAATTGCCCCTGTGGCCGAACGGTATTGAAATGCATATTGGACGCTGGACCCGGCTTCCAGCAGTTGCCGCCCCGCACCAACAGATTGGGGCGACCGGGACCGATCTGCTGGTGGGAGATGCTCATACCACTCCCTCTAACAGAACGGTGCTCAGGTTCTCTCCAAAAACTAGAAAAACAAGAAAAAAGTTTGAAAAACGCATGCTGTGAGAATATGATTGAAAATGAGAGGTGACATATTGCAAGATTTCCACCATTTTCATCCGCATGTTCTTGATTGAGCAATAGAGATGAAACAATCAAGTTTGGCATATTGACCACCAGGTCAGTGCATTTCAGATGGTAAGAAATTCCACACAGCTTCCAAGCGAGTTTCACCTGTAACACACAAAGGAAGAGCACATGTTACAATATTCTTACATTCCATCAACATGTCCTTCCTTCAGCAACAGTCAATAAAACAACCACATATGGTAGATTGACCGCAGCAGAGTTATCAGCCATCCGCGGTCCTCCCGGTTGGACCGGCCGGTGGCCCGGGCCGGTTCCCTCCTGGTCGCCCCCAGCGCATTTTCGCTGGGGCTTGAAATTTGTTTTCTGGCGGCGCGATTGTGTTGCGGAGGCCTCGTGGGGGCGGGCCCTGCCCCGCAATTAGGAAACCGGGTCCTGCAGGCCCCATTTTTCGAAGTTCAAAAAGTGGCCAATCTTGTCCGCCGATCGTCGCGGATCAGCGGCAAAGATCGGCGACTGTTTTGAATCACTTCTGGCGGGAAACCGAACTCGCGCAGCGGGGAAAACACATCGCGCGTTCAACCCCGATCACCTCCAGTCTGTGCAGCCGCTCCGTCATCGCCTCGGACAGCCAACCACGCCATCCTCGCCACCGCCAGCCAGCCGCGCCATCAATCGGTGCAGCCGCGCCATCGTAGGTAAGTCTCCGCAGGGTGCATCATCGGCATCGTCGCCTCCGCCAGCCAGCCACACCATCACGCCCCCTGCCGACGAGCCACTCCATCACTCCCCCAGGTTTGTTTCTTCTTCTCCTTCTTCTTCTTCTTCTTCTTCTTCTTCTTCTTCTTCCTCCTCCTCCTCCTCCTCCCCCTCCCCCTCTTCTTCTTCTCCTCCCTCTTCTTCGTCATCTTCTTCTTCTTCCTCCTCCTCCTCCTCTTCTTCTGTCCCCTCTTCTTCGTCATTTTCTTCTTCCTCCTCCTCCTCCCCTTCTTATTCTCCTCTGTCTTCTTCGTCATCTTCTTCCCCTCCTCCTCCTCCTCCTCCTCCTCCTCCTCCTCCTCCTCCGTTAGCCATAGCCGTTAACTTTTTTTTTTTTTTCGTCGCTGCTTCAAGCCTTCAACTCCATTGCGTTCTTCTTCTTCTTCTTCTCTTTCTTCTTCTTCTCCGTGGTCACTCTCCTCGCCCGTTAGCCATAGCCGTCCTGCGTTTCTTCTTCTTCTTCTACCTCCTCCTCCTCCTCTAGTCCTCCTCTCTTAGCCATCGTATTGCGTTCTTCGTCTTCTTCTTCTTCTTCTTCTTCTTCTTCTTCTTCTTCTTCTTCCTCCTCCTCCTCCTCCTCCTCCCCCCCCTCCCCCCCCTCCTCTTCTTCTTCTCCTCCCTCTTCTTCGTCATCTTCTTCTTCTTCCTCCTCCTCCTCCTCCTCCTCTTCTTCTGTCCCCTCTTCTTCGTCATTTTCTTCTTCCTCCTCCTCCTCCTCTTCTTATTCTCCTCTGTCTTCTTCGTCATATTCTTCTCCTTCTCCCTCCTCCTCCTCCTCCGTCAGCCATAGCCGTTATTTTTTTTTTTTTTTTTTTTTTCGTTGCTGCTTCAAGCCTTCAATTCCATTGCGTTCTTCTTCTTCTTCTCCCTCCTCCTCCTCTTCTTCTCTCCCCTCTTCTTCATCATTTTCTTCTTCCTCCTCCTCCTCCTCCTCTTGTTCTTCTCCTCCCTCTTCTTCGTCATCTTCTTCTTCTTCTCCCTCCTCCTCCTC